CCACTGATCATATGATAAAATGTAATTCATTCATGGAAGTAAAAACAATACAAAAAAGCCTGAATTTGAAAACAATGTTAGAAAGAGGGCTACCAGTTTTCAATAAAAATAAGGCAGCAGATCATTTAACATAAAAGGGCGCTAGAGGAAGAGTTTTCTACAATTTAGCTGACTTTAATGAAAAACCGATTTTTATAAATAATGTAGTCCTCACAAGTCCTTAATAATAGGGATCTCTTTGATTTAAAAAAGGAAAGGTTAAGCCACACTTGTAGGGCAATTAGAGAAGAAATATTTAGCAAAAAAACAACACAGCTAACATTTGTTCTGATCTCCTAAGGGAATAAATTAAAATAACCTCAGCCTGTCCTTATATACTCCGCATAAGTTGGTATGCTGGGGCCAGATTTATCAATATTACTTAGCCCATGCTTAAAATTAAAAAGTTGACTGTACTCATGTGCCATCTAAGACTATTTTTAAGCTAAGATTTTGGTTTGATAATTCAGCTTAAGATATTTGCTTTAGGACATCTTAACTTTTTTGACTTAAGACATTTGCTAAGCTGAGATTGACAAATCCCAGGTCTGGGCCCCAGTAGCACATGTTACTGTGAACTAAACATTATTTTTAACTTGAAACGCAACTATCCTTGCTCATGCAGTCCGAGTTACCATAACTTATAAACTAACATCAGCTCCCTCGTCCGACTCCACGACATTAATTTGCCGATCCAAACAAATATATTTTGATAGCCAATCCAATTGTGGTCAAAAATCACATGGGCGAACCTGTACCGTAATATTTCTCCCCATGAACCTCACCCCAGGGATTTCATTCCGGGACCCTGAACAAGGCTCTATGCATCCCCTTGTTTTAGACCCCGATCAGAATTGTTGCAACCCTATCGACATTTTTCTCATTTTTCCTGATTTTACGAACATTTTACTACAAAATCCTTAAATCGACACTACCAGCCAATTAAATAAGAATATAGCACAGTTAATTGACAAGAAAACAATTTTGTCATTCATATATTTAATTGTAAATTTGTAACTTACTTAAATATAATTATTCAGTTATGGAATTAAATTGTTTATCTTTCAGCTGAAGACAGACAATGTATTATTTAAATTGAACCTTATTGGAAATGGGCTGGTCTCCGACCTAAATGGACGTTCCTGATGCTCATTACGGTAATTTTTACTTTTCTTGATCTCAATCCATTTGTTATCTTGTTTATGCATCGAATAAATTCAATCAATCAGTCAAAAAATATTATCATGAAAAATGTTTGTATGAAGATTATAGATATAGTATTATGTTTATTTTTCGAATATACAATACTGTATTTATGAATCTATATATTCATTTCCATCGAATAGTACACTTTGTATAAATTTTATTTACCCATGGCCATCGGAATGCTAACATAATTTGTTTGCGCTATTGCAATCTACTGGTCCTAACCAACGCCATATAGGCCTATTTAATAATCCTCACATCATTCTGTGGTACGATGATACTATAAATAATTGATATTTAATATGGTAATGCTGATATGGTAAGAATTGTGAAGTACTATTATGTTGTATCAGCAGCATTGTCCATTGCAATAACTGAATACGATAATGTTCAGGTTGGGGTGCTCCCCTTGAAGGGGTGGCAGCCGCCCTGCCGCCCCCCCCCCCCCATCCTAAATCTTTTAAAATGGTAAAAGATTGGAGAAAAAAAGAAAACTACATTTAAATTTAAAATCTGAGAGTGCCATTTCTGGCCATCTAGAGGTGCCATAATGGAAAGGTTTCTTACCTCAGACCCAACCATGGTAGGGCTGAGGTGGTGGGAACCTTTCATCTGGCAGAGTTCCTCCCCATGAGCCCCTCTATTTCAAACCTACTGGCTCTGCCTCTGTTTTTATTTATATATTATGTTTTGATGATACTCCGTTTTAATTCTTTCTCTGTTTCCTAATCTTTTCTCAATATTTTTCTATTCCAGTGTTGTAGACAAAGAAGCCAAAGCTATCAGGAAAGAATGTCCGGACTCAATCGTGAAAGGGGAACAGAACTTACCGTACCAATTATTTACAGATAGCCAACAATTCTGGATATAAAATTAATTAAATAGTGTAAATTTTATTCTTTAAATGTTTTCCTCTGAAATAATCTAAAAAATAATGTTTATTAATATTGTATTATTACTGCGAATGTTTATCTTATTAATAGAGAAAGTAACCTATTTGTTGTAAAGAATATAGACATGTAAGATAATAAGATATAACATTTTGAGGATTAAAATTGGATTTATTAATTTATGCCGGATGTACATGATATAGGCATACAGTATATAAACATAAAATGTGTATATGTATATATATATATTACAATTTGATTTCAATGCTTGAAAATAAATATCAAATGGAATTGTGTATTTCTTCTCATCTTATTTATATTTATGTTTACTGTAATAAATACAATAGCTAAAATATTCTTATTATAATAAGCTTATAAGCTTAAACCAAAAGTGAAGAAACGATCATCAATGTGCTACTTTATCTATTAAACTAGCAATTCTTTCGAGGACGGACGCCCTCAACAAAAACATAAAACCGGAAATGACGTGGTTGCTAAGCAACAAGTTCATGCATAATCATGAATATTCAGTGACACCTGTTCTAATTAGACTAACAATAAAATCTTTTTGGTCGATTTTGTCAAAACTGAGCTAAAAGTTTTTATTGTTAGTCTAATGAGCCCAGGTGTTACTGAATATGCATGAGCTGTAGCCAAGCAACCGACGTCATTTCCTGTTTTGTAAAATTCGACAGCATCTTGCTCTGAAAAGTTTCGTAATATGTTAGTGTCATGTGAATATATTTGGAATGAGTGTTTATAAGATATAGTAGCCTGTAATAGTGCTATATTCGAATCGAGTGATTATAATATATTTAATTCGATTATATACTGATTAATAATCATGAAATATATAATATTATTATTAATGCAATTACGACAAAGGAAGTACACACAATGATCTATTGTAAGTTACACTAGTACAGTTTGCTTTTATTTCACACACTCGGAAATGTTACATCAGAACTATATAAACGTAATATAAGTATAATATAAAGATTCTAGTTTTTATATAATATAATATAATATAGTATAATATAATATAATATATATAATGTTTAGGCCTGTAATGTCCTTTGAGAATTACTTGTTCGTTGTAACATAATTGGCAAATTTGATTCAATTCCGGCGATCCAGTGATATAAATCATCATAAATATCCACGCGCGATTATTTGTAGAATTAAGACCACATAAATTCGGCTATTGATAGCATCTTGTGTTCCGGGAATTTAATACACATTGTGTTCCGGTGACAGTAATTGTACATCGACTTCGCACTTATTGATGGATCGGTAGATTTGACATGAGACACTGAAATAAAAGAGATTGAACTAGTGAAAGATACATTCAAACTATTTCCATTTTGGCATCTGTGTTAAGTTAGGCCATCTCATTACAACTAAAACACTTCATGGAAACTTTATGACCTCATGAGGTATGAATACAAATTCAGAAAATTAAATTGATTGTTAGATTAATTTAATACATTATGTAAAGTGTACATGTTAATACAGCGTTATTATAATATGAGTGGGTGAGTATGCTCCTTAACATCCCGCCCCAAATCGAAAAACGTCAACATTTTAAGACAGTCGAAAATGTGCTGAATACAAATTTTTAATTTTTTTTTTGTAATAAAACTTCAAAAGCGAATATTAAATCTTAACATTTTAACCATACTCTATCAGACCCCTGTATCGTCCTATAATAACAAAGCTGGGTTCCAACCTGCTTTTCCCTTTCATGGCATCTGGAGTTTTAGGTGAACCCTCCCCATTGGTTATGATCATTACATCTTATGTTCCTATCTGAGATTATTACTTATCTATTTATTTATTTATATAGCATTTCGAAAGACGGTTTAGATCTTCCCTACATACATATACATATACATACACCCATACACATACATATATACATATACATACATATACATACATATACATATATATACATATATATACACATATACATATATACATATATATATACATATACAAATATACATATATACATGTATATGTGTATATATACATATACATATATATATACATATATATATATAATTATATATATATATATACACATATAAATCTCAATAAAATCACAACAGCTTTCAAAGATACCATTTAGGCTGAGCCTAACTGTTTTGTTATAAAAATTCATGGTACAAACATGTTTCAGCAGTTCAACTGCCATCTTCTCTGTAAAAATGCTTATAAGCACTTATTGAGTATTTATAAGTTTGAAAAAATACAGTGAAATTTCATGGTAAAGTAGGCGAACTGAGGCGTATAAAAAGGCATGAATAAAATGAAGAAGTACATAAGACCAAATGGTGTATATA